TTATGATGGACTGGCATCCCATCCAGGGGGAAGTAGAGCTACTCTTAGTCGCTTTATGCGCCGGAAACTGGAGTTGAGCACTGGCCTACTGGGCCGCTTGGCTCATAAAAAGACTTTACCTTTACCTTTATGGTAATGGGATCCGACAGACACAGATACAATGTAATACCTACAGTATTTCATTATTGAGCAGGTGAGAGTTGTTTACAACAGAACACACTGGAACACTTGCAACCTTAGCTTCTATCCAACCACCCCATTTCATAACTCATGCTCAGTTATCTTAAAGTTAATTGTTACTCTCAAATAACATAGTTTATTATCCAACTACACCTCGTAGAGTACAAATAACGCCATAGATGAGTACAAATATCACGCGGTAATTGTACTGTAGAGTACCGGTTAAACAGGGAATTTCTTCATTTATTGAAGAAAATAGAAACAGCAACACGATAACTTAGATATTTTCTTGTGTAGTATCGCAGAGTATTTTTACTCGTTATTTGTATTTTGACTCACCCTACGGGCTCGTCAAAATACGACACAACTCGTAAAAATACTCAGCGATACTACACAACAAAACGTCTAATAAGATATACATATATCAGTACCCAACAGAGACCATCCATTAAAAGAAAAATAGATACAATGTAATAGCTATGTTATTTTTGACTTTTACAAAAAAAAAAAGAGAAAAATTCAAACAACTTCATCAGAGCAAGGCATCACTACTTCCTTGCCGTAATCCCATTCAGGAAGCCTTGGGAACACCACAACGAGTTTGGGGTGAGGAGCTGGCTTACAGTTCACACTAATAACTACATAGCTAATATAAATTGAAAAATAATAAAAAATATAGTAATAGTAATGATACCTATACTAATAAAAAGAAGATGGTGCGAGTATCATAATATCTGTTTACTAACTTCTTCAACAGCTTCATCATATGTTGCAAAAGCAGAATGTCCCTCTTGCCAAAGAAACTCACGAGTCCTCAGAAAAGGCTGAGGATGTTTGAACTCCCATCTCTACAACAACAAAATCATCAGGGAAAGTAAACAACAACAATAACAACAACAACAACCACAACACTATAATCTGCATAAAAAGCAGTGTGCCCTCTCCAAGGTTAACACCGAAGGATTAATTTTTTATGACATCCTATGTAAATAGACTGATTTTTAAACACAAGATAATGTAGTTTCTATGTAGTTTTTATATCATTCGTTTCTAGTTTAACTTGAGTGTATACCTGAGTAGAATATAACAAAAGATACATGTATGTACTTTTATCTTTTGGAAATAAAGACTACCATCATCACTAACAGAATAGGAGACCCTTGATATAGGGCCAACCTCTGGGTTTCCTTTTTCTTAATAATTATGTATTTACATGTTGTTCTGAAATAAAGTATTGTCAGAACAGAACTGAAATTAATAGCTAGAGAGGAAGAAACAATGCACCAAAAAGGCTTTTCTACAAACCACAACATTGTTCCACTGATTAAGTTTCAGTGGCAGATCTCTGTGTGACTTGATCCACTTGGCATAGGCTGGATACATAACTTATTAAAGAAAAAAAAAGAAGGCTGCATTGAGAATTGAATATAACCATAGCAAGACAGTAGCAGAGCAAAAGTAACTTGGCTGACCTGCAAGCGAGAGCTACTTTCCTACTATACTTGGTATAATTAAAAGTCATCATTTCACATCACTATATTCAATCCAAGCTTATTGTACCTGTCTCACTGGTTGGTCTGATAGCAATTGGGTCTGCAAGTTCTGATTGGCCAGACTTTGTTACCCAGGCAACCTAAATGACAGAAAGCAGCAATTGGCATTTAGGCAAAAATACAACAAATAAGCTTAATGTAATATATTCTAAGTTCCACAGTTCCTATTTTTTAAATGTCTTTCACTTTTAGTTTTTATTCTGTGCTTGACACATATCTTCTAATAGTGATATTTCAAAATGTTTATATGCAAGTAATATGTCTAAGAGTACTTCTTTTCAAAGTCATAATGCTACGAACTTTAATTAATCTATAACTGTCTTTATTACATGACTCGGGCAGTCAGAGGGCCAATAACTAAAATCAACCAATCAAAATGCTCTATTGCCGGTCCAATATTCTCTAAGTATTGGACCGGGCACTGTCCCGAATGGTCCTGAATGATACTACACGTGTGTCCCTTTGAACTTCAGTCGTATAATAAATCTCTTATTAACCAAGCTTGCTCGGGACCGTACTGGAAGAAGATGCGCCCTAGGTCTTTTTTGTACGGACCTCGCTGCGCTCAGTCTGTACTGTCAAGACCTCGGGCCAATATTCTCCCAGTATGGCCCTCGCGCTTGGTTAATAAGATATATCTCCATGCCTGTATCCATTTGTTAGTGTGTCACACACTTCAGCATTTGTCTATCTGTCTGTTCATTTGTCTCTCTACATGTCCATTTGTTTGTTTACCTTCCTTTATCTTCAATTATTTGTTCAAAGCTTCTTTCAAATACCTCTGGTGCAAAGTCTGCAATGTGTGTTTTCTCCTTTTCCAGGGCTGACTGAGACACAAACATTGGAAAATACACATTCTCCACTCCAAGCTTTTTTATTTCACTGTCAAAGAAATCTAACAAAAATGAATGCAAATTACTGCATCTGTCTTGAGAAAACCTCAAATCAAAGAAACAATAACTATTATAATTGCAACTTTCTGTTTAAATGATAGTGGGTACAAAAAAAAAAAAAAAAGAAAAGACAAAGTGACCTAACCGTTAGCTCCCAAGATCTAGATACGTATCATCAATTTCTGTACCATCCACTGTAAAAAATGTACTACAAAATAATTCTTGCTTTCTTCATGCAGTACCTCTTATACGCTCCCAAATGGAATAGGACCAAGGCCTCAGGATGTAACAGCCACTAACATCATAGTACTCAATCATTTCTGACTTTGTTATGACCTAAAAAAGACAGTTTAAAAATGCTCTTTCCGAATGAAAACAAAGTAGGAAAACTATTTCCTGTACATATAGGTAAAGTTGGATTTTAGCGAGAAGTTTGATGATGTGTATGAAAGCAATTCTCACAGTAAGGAAGTCTAATAACTAAAATAAAAGGCCTGAAAAAAAATTCATGCTTTCCCAACCCCCATCCCTTCTTTCCTCACACATGTACTGGAACTGGCTCTGGCTGGGTGGTTGGGCTGGAGCTGAGCAGTTTAGAATAAATAATGAACTCAAAATTAGGGATCAACAAAGAATGTTCAAGATCTTTCACATTTATATATATACATATCTATATGAAAGATTTTGAATGCCCTTTGATTATCATTTGAGTTATGTTGTATGTTGTATAATTGATATAATCTTGATAGCCAACTAACAAAGAAGTACCTGCAGTTAATAAGTACAGAAAATAGAAAAGCTCCCAATTTTCCATTTATTACAGACAATCTCATATGATCAGGAATAAAAAAGATTTGGAGGATTCATTGGTAGGCCAAATCAAGGACATGCAATCATAAAAAATAATACTAAAAAATTCCTGATTGCTTAGGGTGTTAAACACCTTGTAAAGACTATTCTTAATAAGATGTTTGGATGTGCTCTAGCTTAGTTTATAATTTATCAATTAGTACTATTATCCTTTGTCTCATGATGCGGTTACTTATGATGTGAATCTAGCAGTATGCAGTTGGAATGTCGTGAAACGATAATACTCTTATTATCATACTTAACCACGATGAACAAGCACAACCTTATTTATGAAATGACTAGCAACTGTACAAAACTCTCTCACCTGAGAAAACCAATCACTCAGGTTCTCTTCCTTCTTAGCCTCTAGACCGAGCCTGCATTTGACAAACAAAATTTCAGTCATACCCTTCCTTCAAACTAAAAAAATATCCCAACGTTAGAGAGATTTAGCACAGGGTTAATGTGTAACAGCAAATGTCATCTAGTCCTTTTCCATAAAATAGCATGAGCCCTGCTGCTTTAACTTCTCGTGAGCTCATGCCATGATGAAACTGAAGGTGCCCTTGTATGACTTACAATGAATAGTTTTGGTGCATTTTTTCCAGCAATTAATTTCTACTCTGAGAGTGAGAAAAAGTGAAGAAAATCTTACATACACAGCAAACACGAAACAGGTTATTTTCATGTAGAAACGGCAAAGCGCAACCAGTAAATATAAAAAAAATGGCTGGAAAAACAAGGCTATATGGTCACTCTTGCCATTCATGTAACAAATAAATGTGGTGCTAAATCTCTCTATTCTGTATTTATCTAAGTTAAACCCTCAGGGTGAACAAAGCTTTTAAAAAAAGCTAACTTATCACATACCTAGTGATTTTCTTGGCTCCACTTTCTGTATCACCATTCTCAGCCACTATTTTCTCCTGTTTATTAACAGGTTTTGAATCTTTTTTGGCATTTTCCTTTCCACTATCTTTCTTTTTCTCTTTCTTTCCCCTCCCACCACCAGCAACATCTTCTCCTGTCAGATTTTTATACTCTCCTTTCAACCTCAGTAGTTCTGCAACTGCTGCATCAACTTCCTCCTAAATATTCAGTAACAAATAAATATACAATGAATAAATGAGAAAATGATTTTGTTGTAAAATCATATAACAATGAGAACTCATAAAACTATAAACACCAGGAATATTCATTTAATATGCAATGTTATTGTGCTCCAGGAGAATACTGAACTGCAGAATCTGTTTTTGAGCCACAGCAATGATGACCTTTTTTGGTATCATCCAGAAAATGAAATACGCAAGCATTCCATTAGTCGCATATTAATGACATTTACAAAATAGACAAAAATACTGTCTGATACAAATTAAAGTTAGATTTGTTAGTAAGTAGAAAATGTATTGCACTACACCTTTGGGGCTCCACTAGACTTAAGGTTGCGCACTTTGTCTCCTTGCACAGTTATTTCGCCTTTAAGTTTCTCTACTTGTTCAGGAGATGCAGTAGGCTTGGCAAAATCTGTTCCATTCATTGTGGTTGATGGTTTGGTGCTCTCTCCTTTGTTTTTCTTTTTGCTATCACCCTTATTTTCACTCTTTTTGTGGCCTCCTGCCTCCTTAAGATCAAAAGAAGATAAATCATGTTATTTCTGAGAGACAAGCTAGGTGACATTACAGTGTTTAGGGAAACAGACACAAGCTTGAAAGGTCCTACAGGAAGTCCTGTTTGGGTCTCTGTACTGTGTTTGTGAGAAAGGCTGTTGAATTCATTAATTCTTCTCACTTCATTCGCACTTAAACCCCAGGATCTGATTGTTAATTCTCCCTTTTGGTTGCTAAAGATTTCCTTGCAGACAAGTTATGGGAATTAAAAGGTCCACATCAGTGAAAGCTGCCCTTATCATGACCTTATTCAAATAAATTATGTATGTGTGTATGTATTAAGTGTTAGATCAACATAACTTCTACCTAACAGGTTTGAGTATTCTCATCACATGTTCACTGAATAATGTATGGATATTAAGTGGAAAAGTACCTGTAGTAACATGTTAATCACTTCTGGGAGTTAGAGGGTTGTAACATAGGTTTTAGGAAAATGTCAAGGAAACTTGGCAAAATGCTGAGGAAAGGAGAAGGGTTTTCTATGATAGACAGCCATTCCCATACACCTGATGGAGCATTAATTACTCCATGTTTCACGCAAAAAACATAAACAAAAACAAAAACAAAAACAAAAACAAAAAAAAACAAAAGAACTGAGATAAGCTTGTACAGAGTGCTCCAAGGCCAGTAAGATTTCATCAAAAAGTCAATTAATATATCACTTCAATAAAACAACAGTTAATTCAAGAGTGCAGACGGTACGTAAGAAATGTTTAGAATTTGACAAAATTAATATTTTGACATTCAAACTTCCATCTTCAATAACAGTAGGTCAATATAATTATTTGTCGTAGTGGAACATCAAGAGGTTAATGTCCGTTATTCTAATTCAATAAAATTTGGAGTCTTCGAGGAAGACGCAGATTCTTTCAAAATCGCGTGACAACAGATAATTTAACGAGCATATTAATTCGCGTTATTGTAACTAAACTTGTCAATACTAACTTCCTCAACAATTTACATAATTATTAATACAACCACGTAACTCTTAAATTCTGCATGAAAACATAAACTTTAAAAAAAAATCGGCGCCCTAAATTGAATAGGTCCTTATACAGTCGATCTACAAAGAATGTTCGGAAGTCAAGTCGATTAATTCGATCTTTAAAGAAGCATTAAATAGGTACCCGTTCGCAAACAAAAGCATATCTAGAAAAACGTATCACTTGTTAGGGAGCAAAAAATAAAGAGACAGAAAATCCGATCAAACATTTCATGTTTACATGGTAACGAATGGACGCCCTGCCAAACCCTAAAAAAATGTTGTGCGTTTACAAATCACTATTTCCACGGCTAGCATGGAACGATTCGACGGGATCGATTGTGAGAGGTGAGGCGAAATTTGTTACTTCTTCGGAACAATAATTTCCAGAAATATCCCGTCTCTGCCGTCTAAATTATTGACGACGTGCAATATTAATCCAAATTTATTCTACTAAGACGAATCTAGTAAAATTATTTTAAATACCTTGTCTGAATACTGAATATTCGAAGTCCCAATGAAAAAATATCCACGTGTACTCAAAAACAAAACTCGATCCCAGTCTTAATTTGCCAACAAATGGAGACGGACATACGAAGGACGCCTGGTAGAAATCTACCAAAAGCAGCAACTCCAGTTTTAATCGTAATTTGGGCGGTTCACGGGATTTTAAGGATAAATTATCCAACGAATCGATTAATAATAGCGTTCCTACATTTTTTTTCCTCTAAGATTTATTAGAGAGCGTCCTTGGAAGAAATTAAGAATGAAAACACGAGCTTTCAGACAAAAATCAAGTCATTAACTTTAATTCGATTTCAAAAAGACACGAAGAAAGACTTAGAATTAAGATATTGCTTGCCATCTGGTATTTTGAATTACCTTCATGAAGTGAGAGAGAAAATTAACAGTATGTAAATGAGTCACTAGCTGACAAACGCCGATAAATTTCCCATCCTCTCCCCCCGCGGTTATGCGTCTGCATTCACCGCGCAATAAAACCCCACCAGTAAAAGAATAAAAACTGCGCTAAAACCATCACCATTGCAGGAATAATTATGGTTTTTACGCGCTTGATAAGTGCTTTTATTCAGGAAATTTCTCTCAAAATTTTCACCGCTTTTTAGCTCACCACAAGATCCTGATTATTAAGGCCTGAATTGAATACATATTCATTCGTCCAAGACAACGAGTAAAACTAATTTCGAACTAGTGTGGAAGTGTGAGGATTAATAACACCAACACAAACCTTTTTGTGCAAAACAGAACAGTCTTTCTCTAGTTTTACCGCACAGCAAGGAATCTCGTCAAGCCTTTGCACTGAAGTACGATGTACAGTCTTGTCATAAATTCCGGTTAAGTCGCAATATTCTACTTAGACTTACTTTCACTTTGGACCCTCCAGTTGGCGACGGTTTGGTGTGGCCATCAGGGACAGAGAACAAGATACACGGACTTTCACGGCCGGTGTAACGACTGTAACAAACACATCAACAAAACGCTATAGTCACACATAATGTACAACAATGGTCTTCAGTCGATAACCTGAGACCGGCTTTGACACCCTCATATCAGTCTGTATATTCTCCACACTGTTCGCTATACATTTCTTAAAGTGCTGATAAGGAGAAGTGGTTTAACAATCAAGATTTTCTTTTCTTGGCGGATAATCTCTTTTATTCTCGTGACCTAAGTGTGATTCAAGGGCGATATTGAAGGAAGAAATTAAATGCTAGTCCGTCTTGGAGGTCAAAGGATTGAGTTTCTTAAAACAGTTCGTCAAAATAATTGGTAGGTAAGTGCTGTGGAGGAAGCGACAGAGGAACGAACAACCTAATAAGGGGGCGACCATTTAACTTTTGAGGGGGGGGAGGTGGGTGATTTCTGGTTATCAAGAAATTTTTTTTCAAGCAATCTGCTGGGCAGGATATTTTTTTCCGTTCTAAATGCTCTTTTTTTTCTGTTACATGTAAGCTGCATGCAATTTTTTTTCTTCCAACAAGCGCTTGCAGGAAATTTTTTTCAAAATCACCCACCCCCTCCCCCCCCTCAAGAGTTAAATGGTGGGCCCCTAAGTGGAGTACTAATGGAGGGAGAAACTAGATGCTAGTCAAAGAACTAAGATTTGATAAAAACTTTGTCAAAAGAATTAGTGGATAAGTGCTGTAGAGGTAGCGAGAAAGGAGGGCCACCAAGCCACCACCGCAGACCTTCAGGTACCGCTGAACAAACCGGCTAGAAAGTAGAAGACTTAAAAAAAAAATGTGGAAGAAAGAGAGAGTAACTAACCAAGCAAAGCCGCAAAGAAAATTGAGCAACAGCTGAGACTATGACCCTGGATGCCTTCACATCAGACTAAGAAGGACGTTAAAAAACCACGACGGCGACAGCAACGAGGACGTGGAAAAACAAGAGATCTAATTGGCAGAACAATAGCTCAGCACGTGCGTTTTGAAACTTTGTACATTTCTTAGCCGTCCTATGCAAAACAACAACGTGAAATGGCCACAATTTGCGTCGCCTGCGAACCGAAACCGCGACGGCAAATTATTTTAATTACCATTTGGAACTCAACGGCTATTTACACGTCATGCTGAAGTTGAGCTGTGGCGCCGTATGAGACAGTAAGCTCCTGCAGCCATTTTTAAAAATTCTAACTAAGAGTAGAAATTAATTTTTTATTCGAAGTCTTCCTTGGCGTTGCCTTCCTGACTGCTTAAGGTCCCTAATGAAACCGCTGCAGTGACAGTATTAATTTTACTTAATTATTTCGTAAAAAACGAAGAGCAAAGTGATGTTCATTATTTTTTGTGTAGCAAATACCTTGGTGGCTCGTAAGGCTGGTCACAAATGAAGTACCCTCGCCGCTGGAGTTGGATTATGTCTCCTTTCTTTAATGAAGCCATTGCGGGATCGCCAAGCATTTCTGTGTCATGCTATAAAGACAAATAAAAAGAGTTTGTGGAGGATTTACCTGCTACCCTCGAAACTTGCATTAATAACTGGGTACCAACTGTGATTCGAATCCGCTTAAGTATGAGTTTCTACACTGGTTAGTGTTATTAATACAGATGTTAGTGTTTCGCGCATGCATGCTGAAACAAATAAACAAAAAAAAAATATTTGTATTGCAATTCTGTGGGTAAAACGTAATCAGGTTATCGTTCACCAGAAAAGCTATTGAGAAGTTGTTTTTTTCCCTTTTGTTTTGCTTTGTTTGTTTGTTTGTTTTTTCTTTTCAGGTGGTGTCCTTTACCATACTGTGGCGGCAGAAAAGGCTATCGAGTCGGTGAAGAAACCCGAGCGAGTGACCATTCATATAAAAGCTACTGAGTAGCACTTATCATGTGGAGCTGTTTAGTATGCGGTACAAGGCGATCTTTTACTCTAAACTGAGTCAGTTGACGAAGCACTGGCGAGCCTGCAAGCTAGCCATTATTAGCGCTGTTGGACATGCGCTTCTACGCCCGAGGGAAGAATTGAGATGAGTTGGGGAGAGGTTTGTCGGGGGCCTGGTACTACTAATAAACAATGTTAGACCCCATACCAGACCTCTTACCAGCTCGCACTGCTCGAAGAAAAACTCGTGCAAAAGCGCTAAAAATGACAATCCGTTTGTTGGCTGAGCACTGGTGTGAACGTCATTAGAGGACTGGTCCCCTCTTGATTCTATGTTCAGACTTCAGTTGCTTCAGTAATTCTGTTCGTTATGCTGCAGCTGTATGTGAAAACGGTCACTGTTGCGGAAAACTATGTTATTCTTCAGTAATGATCAGGTTTCTCACCTTAGAATCTTTGTTGATATAGTTCTTGAAGTCATCATTCTTCGTGAGAATAGGCTTAGAGATGACATCATCGAATTGGACCGCGATCGTAGGAAGCAGCGGTGCTTTGGCTGACTCTGCGATCCAAGTCAGCTTGGTTGTCTTCTTAAAGTCCTGGAAAAGACATTAAATAAAGAAAGTTTAAAAAAGATAACTTAAAAAAATGAGAAGAAAAAAAAAAACCATGTGATATTATATCCGTGTAAACTATCGAAATTGGCCCGATAACAAATGTTTAACTTTTTAACCCTTGAGAGTGACTTCTGTATCGAATTTCCCTTGCAGTATCAGCGCTGAATTATACACTAAACTCTCCAGAATAAAGAAAATGGTCACCAACGAAAGATGTTCTTGATCTTCTAACAAATTCTCCTTCAAGGTAAAAGGACATGTATAGAGAACAGTGTTGAGAATATGCATTTCGATGTTCGTGTGTACGGGGTTGAATCGAGCTGAATAGAAATATTTTGTTAGGTTGACCAAGTGAGTTCCCTTACCTTGTTATCGAGGTGAAGTTCTGCTTCGATTGATTTCACTCCTCCCGAAGGATTCCTGAGGAAAAGAAATAAACCAATTTGGAGAATGATTTTAGTTATGCCTTCAAAATAGGAGATTCCAACGTTCAAAACCTCACACGCCAGCTATTGACTGCAGAAAGTTTAAAACAGAGGAAAATGTTAACGAAGAATGTAGGTGTCTCGATGAGAAAAAATAGTGAAGGGAATTGTGAATGGTTTAAAAGAAAATTGTTTCATTGTTCGCTTGCTGAAACATGTGCCTCAAGGCTACTGTACGTAGCGGTTCTGCGTGTGTTTTGAATTAAACAAGAGTGGAGAAACTTACGAAGTTCCGCGGTTGCTCGTTTTCGCTGTCCCACTGCCTATAATTCACCACGCGCCGAAAAAGGCCAACCACGACAGCTATTTTACCTTTAACAGCTATTTTTCTTTTTTTTTTTTGTGTGTACATGGATAAGGCAAACAATTTTTCTGGACGAGTTCCCTTCGTTAGAAAACTACACTGATTGCTTCAAAACAACCTGAACGTGATATCACCTACTTGTTAATCTTTGTGATCTTGACGTTACCCCAGTTAATTAGCGTGACCATTTCACCTTCAGACAGCGTGACAGCATCCTCTCCGTCGATGAACACTTTTGGACCGTACCATACTTCCTTGCTGCCCACGCTGGGATTCTGTGGAATGAAAAGCAGGGCGCACTTTGTATGAATCTGGTAAAACCCAAACCAACTGAAAGTATTTACAAGAGCCAATCAGAACCAAGTGAATATCTCAAGCAGCCAATGAGAATTCAAAGGAAAAACAAGTATACGGCCAAAAAAGCGGGAAAACGCAGGTGACGAGTCCACAATAGGCCATTTCCGACTTACGTTTGGCCTCTTTTTCAAAACGAGGCCTGGTGCTCAACCATAGGTATGAAAATGAGTTTAACTTGCATGTGAATGAAAACTTTTTACCATACGAAAGGATGAGCACAAGGACTCGCTTTGAAAAAGAGGCTAAAGGCAATTCGGAAATGGGCTATTGGTTTTTTATGTGCAGCTGACTGGTTAGAGGGGAAGCGCAATATGTCACGGACCAATTATTGATATGAACGAAGTAAAGAAATACAAAAGAAATCTCTGATTACATTCGAAACTCACAAAACAATTACACTACAGTCAATCAAAACTGCAATCATTAGAACGTAGTCGTGGGCAATTAAAAAAAAAAAAATCATAATAGGCGCATTTGCGTTTACACCCATTTAGAATAATTATTTAGAAGTGCACTAGTAAAATCAGAAAAAAAAGTTTCGATGTTAGACCGCAATGGAACAGCCTTGTCTTGAAACGTTCATAAGAAGACAAGATACCTTGGATAATTATAGAGTACCTTAGGATGTAAAGGGCATTCTTTCATCTCTTCTTTGGCTTCAGGGATAAACACAGGTACAACACCACTCTTCGAAAGAGCTGTGTACCTTGGTGCTATGGGATCGATGACCTAAGAGAGAGGGAAAACAAGAATGATCTTTATTACGAACCAAAACCTACTACGAAATAAACAAAATCATTTTAATTCCAAAGTCGAGAAGAGATAAATGAGTATAAAACAAGATATTAAAGGATTAAATAATTTTTTTTTCAACAAACCTTTTTGTTAAGAGCCCAAATCTTATCCCATTCCATGTGAACATTCGCCTTTGATGAACCCTGAAATAAGAATGGATATAAAATTGGTCGATGTTACAGTATCAGGCGCTCGACAAAAGCAACTGCTTGCGTTGTTTCAAAAGATAAGGACTGTAACAAGGTTAAGTAATTCATATGAAAGTAATTCAATCATCTCTGGGATTTTTAGTACCCCAAAAAACCTCACAGTATTTTGCAGACCCCACTCTAAACGCGCGTAGTGGTGCAGGGTTCTAAGCCAGTATGCGTCGATTAAACCCTTCACACACCAACATCAGTATGCATTTCTCCAAACTGTTCTCTCTACGTTTCCAATAGTATTTACAAAGAGAATTTGTATGGCAGTCAAGAGCTCCTTAAGTAGCAGATCATGTCCTATATTCTTATTACCTTCAAGCTTGATTCACTCTAAGGGTTATTGCGATACAACTTCACGTGCGTCAATTCTTACCAGCAAACTGTTACCTCTATGAGCAACGGGTGTTACACTGCAAACGATCCAACACCATTTTTTTTTCTTTTTTCACCAGTCTCTCATGAATTGCACTTCATATCAGCAATTCTACAATTTTAAGTGATGTCCAAAACTTTCTCAAAAACTTATTTACAACCTAACTCATCTGTTTGCAAAATCCTTATCTCACCTGTAACACGATAAACTCCCTCAAACCCTCTACAGTCATTCCTCGTCTAAGCACGCCACGAACTGTGGGAAATCTTGGATCTTCCCTAAGAATGTCATGAAATCAGAAACGAACTTCAAGTTACATAATCTTAGCCCCCGTGAAGAAGAAATTCCTTCTTGTAAAAGTGAGGTCAAATAAAAATAATAAATAAGTAAAAAAATATAGACAAAAACAAAAACAACAACAACAACAACAACAAACGCAACACCAGTAAATGGTACGAAATAAGCTGCATGTAACACTCACCATCCCTCGACATATCCTTGATCGACAAGGTAGGTTAGCTTTCGCTTGGACATGACAGTGTTTTGCAGTGTGAGCCGGCTGAATTCATAAATATATGGCTTTCGGATGCCTGTGAAAGAAAATCGGTGAGAAAACCTTTGTTTATTGGACTGACTAGCAGTGCCTCAGAAGTTTATGCCAATATCCTTATCCTCTCGCATCTGGGGCGATTTTTAATCTTCTTGAACGGGTTGTAGTAAAACGCACGTTAGCCTTGCCTTTCGTCAACATTTGTTTGTATAGTATTAAATATATTAACCAGTAGTTTCACTAGCAACTGATAATTTACTAACGGGGGTTTCGATAAAAGTCGGTCATCTTACCAACAGTCTACTGCTAACTGTAAGACCTCTGACTACCGTCTGTTGAGCCCGCGAGCAGGCTTTTGTGTTTGGGTTTCGCCTTACTACATGCCCGTCTTTAACACCATCGGCATCGTCTCATGGACAAATTTATTAGAGAGATATAGCACCACGTTTACGTTTACATGAAAGGCAAGAGTAACCACGTGACCAAGTTTTCCCCGCCATTTTTTATGCTTGCCGGTTAAGTTTTGCCGTTTCAACGTGAAAGTACACTGTTTCGTACGTAAGATTTTCTTCACTTTTTTTCTCTCACAGAGTAGAAGTTAATTGCGGGAAAAAGTGCACCAAAACTATTCCCTGTAAGTCATACAAGGGTACCTTCAAGTCCACCATGACACGGGCTCTCGCGAAGCTAACGCAGTTAAGATTCGCACTATTTTACGTGAAACGTGAAAGAGCAAGCTGACGTTTGCCATTTCATGTAAACGCGATGCTAAATCTCTCTATTGAAACCCCCGACTCATCTTCATTTGTACTCCTGGACGGAGTCAGTATAGCAAGCAAAGAAAGCTCCTATGGGATAAGCAACTGACTATGAGCACTTACAAAGTGCAATTGCAACAGAACCATACTTACCCAACTGTTCAATAAACCAATAGTACTGTGGATCACGGTCATGATACTCTGTGGTTCTCAGAGCATGAGTTACACCCTCGATGCTGTCCACAATAGGGCAAGCGAAATCGTATGTGGGATATACTCTGTTGAAAAAGAAATAAAATACAATGAAATAATCTTTTTTATTATATAGATACCGATGAAATACCAGGATTTCTCCTTTTACTAAAAAATCATATCTTCACCGCGCGCAGTGTAGATACTATTTTTATCTTTGACGTGTGAGGATATTGGTGTGGCCATGGTTACCAACATAATTACCCAACTGCTGTTTCGAAAATGAATAAAAAAGTTGTCTTTTATGTGGAAATTTCATCAGTATCTATATAATAAACAGAACATTACATGGCCGCTTAGGGATACGAATTTTATCTTCTCGCGCTGAAAGTGTCTCTCACTCGTACTTTCAGCACTCGAAGATAGAATTCGTATCCCCGCGCGGCCATGTAATATCCTCTATATATATAAGAATTTCCTAGTTTTCCACGAAGCACTTTCGCCTGGGCGTCCAAATGGCCTTAGCGCCCTTCACTATAATATTTGTTTTAGTTCTGTCTTTGTTACTTTTCTGAATACACACGTTCCATCAGAGAGCAATTTTAAAAAATTACGAATCATTTTTTTTTTTAATTTAAAATTTGTTTGAATCGTCTTCATCCTTAGCGCCCTATATCGCCGCCTTGTTTATTGTTGTCTTTTGAAAATTTTTCTTTCTAAGAAATATACTTGCAATAGGTAGCCTTCCTAAAATCAAGGGTTGGTTTTTAACGTCGCAAACAAGGACTGAAAGTATCAAAACGTAGCTATTTTAGCCCTTTAACTGAAAAGATCCCGTGAGTAATTCTCCCTTCTGCCTGCCATACAATTCTTATGATGCTAGTTTGGAGAATTTGGTATTGGATCTATTAATAACCTTCTTGTTGATATTTAGTTCTTATTAACCGAGCGGGAGGTCTGTATGGGAGAATCTTGACCGGGGTCGCCACTGACAGACCTCACTGCGTTCGGTCTGTACCAGCGACCGAGGTGAAGATTCTCCCATACAGACCGACCTAGCTCGGTTAATACGATGTTTATTATATGGCTGTGTCTTATATGCCAATTTTTTATCTTCTTTGTACCTTTTTTTTCTAGACCGGTCTAGATGCCGGTCTAGATGGGAAAATCTAGACCGCTTTCAATATTGATTTCAGCCAATCAAATTCGTGAATTCGGTAGTTCCCAGTCCTTGTGAGACACAGCCATATAATAACTGTCTTTATCCTCACCACTTGTCTAGTTGATATTGTACTGATAGCGTGGGGAAAAATTCTGGAAACGAAAAAAAGTCAGTCATACTTGTATTTTGTTCCAGTTCGTACATGTTCCTCCGGTTTACAACGATACATTGTTGGATCTCTCATGCAGCCATTTTCAGACTGGTAATCAAGCTTAGCTCTCAGAGCAAATCTCTGGCCATATTGTGTGCCTTTCTTCATCTCTTCCCAAACTTCGAGGTTCTTCTCTACCGCTGGGGAAGCAATTGTGAAGTGAAAAAGTAAGTACATCAAATAAAAGTTAAGGTTAAGATATGGACAGAAAGCGATAAGGATTGGTGTTAGAGCGCGCTCCTACAGATCAGTCAAGACGGAAACACCGAGGAAGACGTCGATGAAAAAATGAATTTATATTTTTAATTAGTATTTCACGAATTGCTGCACGCGTTTGCAATCTCTTACGGCTCCAAACCTCAATTTTAGCATAACGTATTTTAATAGCGTAAGGTTCCCAATAGAATCTTAAATAATTTGCCGTCGAGATTTCACTTTGTGAGGGAATTTAAGCAAACTACGACGGCGACGGCAACGGGAACGTGGAAAAGCAATAGATCTAATTGGCAGAACAATAGCCCAGCACGTGCATTTTAAAACTTTGTACATTTCTTAGCCGTCCTTTGCAAAACAGCAACGTGAAATCCCCAAAATTTGCGTCGTCTGCGAACCGAAACCGCGGCGGCAAATTATTTAAATTCCCATTTGGAACACAACGCTACTTTTATGCGTTATGTTGAGTTCGAGGTCTGGCGCCCTATGAGACAGTAAACACATGTAGCCATTTTCGAAATTCTGACTAAAAGTAGAAACTCATTTTTTAATCGACGTCTTCCGTGGCGTTGCCGTCGTGACGGCTTAAGTTCCCTGTTGTTTTGCAGAGGACGGCTATGAAATGCATAAAGTTTCAAAACGCACGCTATTGTTCTGTCCATTGGATGTTTTGTTTAGTCACATGCTTTTTGCCGTCGCGGCCTAATATTGCTGCGTGACAATATTTTTCCATTTAATAACCCAAAACTCACAGTTGTCCCTGTTGGCAGACTTGATGCGTTGTTCCCTCTCTTCCTTCATTCTGTCTGCAGGAGTGTCATCCGCGTAAGCTTTTCCTTCCTTGATCATTTTCTCAGCAAACGCCATGATTGTGTCAAAGTGGTCTGAAGTGTGCGTGAACATGTCTGGCTTGACCTTCAACATTTTGAGATCTTCCAGGATGACCTAACCAAAAACAAAATATATTTAAGAGGGACCTTAAGCAGTCAGGACGGCAGCGCCAAGGAAAACGCCGATTAGAAAATGAATTTCTATTTTTAGTTATAACTTCGAAAATGGCTGCATGTGTTTACCGTCTTTTACAACGCCACACCTCAATNCTACTTTGGAGTAGCTGTAGCTCAAGCTGACTTGACTCTAAGAGTTCTACATCACACGACGGTTGATTGATAAATGGTCCGGTGGGACCTAAGGCTCCTTTTATAGCGCGCCTTCGTGTTTGAGGTCCCTAATAATTGAAACGTGCCATTTTCATATGCTTCATGAAGTCAACTCTTTAACTCCCAGAGGTAATTAACATGGAACTTATGCAGCAAACAGGTAACGAGAATACTCAAACTTATCAGGTAGAAGTTGATGTCTTGATCTAACACCAAATTCTCGTACTGTGTAGTCATCCTTATCCATTTAAGAAAAGTTTAAAGGATGATAGTTTCTAAAGAAGCTGATTGGGGCTGCGTCGGTGGGGGTAACGAAATAATTTGAATATATCAACAAAGTTGAAATGGTAAATTGGCCACCGTTACAATTATAAAAGCTGACGTTTCGAGCGTTAGCCCTTCGTTGGAGCGAAAAAAGATCGGAGCTAAGAAAAGTTTACACGCCCATGACCCTAGAATTGATTTTTCCTGGCCACTAAAGGATGAGAAAGGGAAATATCGCACTGTCCTTAAACACTGTACTTAATACCGACCTTCTCAAAGTCAGCATTCTCCTTGGCAGGGTTCGTATCGTCAAACCTCATGATCATTTTGCCATCATACATGTTCTTGTAATACTGGTTGAGCAAAGCAGCTTTAGCATGGCCTATATGAAGGTAGCTGGAACGAAATATGCATTTTACATAATCATGCAAATTTTTTGAGGACTGAGGAAACGTTTAGAAGTCTATTTTCGTATGACATCGAAAGGTGCAGTTGTACGTGTATACTACATTTATAGCGACCGTGTTTTCAGAACAATCTTGGTTTGTAAACTCAATCCAGTGTGCTTTATAGATAGAAGTGCTTGACTCTGGAGGTTAAAACTTTGATTTCTCGCCCAGAAATACGGTTCATTTCATCGTTTGATAGCAGGAAAAACAGTGATAGCAAAGCAAGCCCAAAACGGCGGAAACCACCAAAAAACCCAACCGACACACAAGCAGTGAGTCAGTTTTATCAATCTCAGGTGTAAGATGTTTATATTCGGAATATTCAGTGTTGTAAATGACCACATTTCGTTGTCCATACTATTCTTTATAAGACATTCAAGTTCTTAACGGTTCCTCGCGTAACTTAACACCGCGTCAAACAGCGCGTGACGCTTTCAAGAAATAATCCTTCATTTTTCCTCGAGACGCGAGCTTGGGACGCCTGTGGTATATGTAGCTCAGTGATTTACTTGGCCCTTGCGGCCTTTGCTATAAATACCACTGTTTTTCACAGTCATCAAAAATACATACACACTACCGGTTAGTCAAACAATGTGGGAGAATAAACAGCGCGATAGCAGTCGCAGAACGAAATAGCGTGGAAGGTTTGGGTTGTGTCACAGAAGGAACAAACAAATGAATGTTACCCAACCTCACTCAATATGAACCAAACTCTCTTTTTTTCACTCCCACACTTCTTTCGGCCATTTATTATCACGCTTTGTTTCACTGGCTGAATGCCCAGAACAGGCTAAAAGCAGTAAAATAGTTCACTTGTAAATAAACATTCTCTAAGAAACATACCAAGTGGACATAACTCAAAACTTACCCACTGGCTTCAGGCGGAAATCTTGTCACAACATTTCCCTGAGAAGCTCCAGGAAGAGTGACATACTTGCCTTCTGACTTCATTTTTGTCTAAAATATGGGTAACAAAAACAAACTATAAGTGAAAGCCAAGGTTCAAACAAAACTCAACTAGAATGTTTATGTAATTTTGCTTTTAACATAACTTTACTACCTAATTTTCAAAAACTTCTCAAACTTTCCTCATGTAACTGATATAATGTACCTTGTAATGTACCGTGTATTTCATTTTATTTTATTTAGCTTCGCCAACCAGCAGGGACACCGCAACAGCTTGCGCCGATTATTGCGGGCCCAATAAACCCATTTTAATTTACATTTGGAACACAACGCTACTTTCACTAATCTCGTGTGTGGGAATATAACGTCTCCTACCCCAACCCTGCAGGAGACGGGACCTCCATTTATTCGTCCCTATCCGAGAAGACTAGAATATCTAACCATTTCTTGATGTTATAGAAGGCAGCAAATTCTTCTCAATTATTTTAAGACCCTGAGTGTTGGTCCGGCCGGGGCTTGAACCCTCGACCTCCCGCACAACAGTCCAGCACTCTATACATTCAGCTAACCGGGAGGCGGTTGTATATTGTATATTTCATGTGTTAACTGCAATTTTTAATTTGTTTCTGAACTCCTTTTGTATTTCATATTTTGTAAATACATTTTGTTATACTAATTACATATACATCCTAATTAAGTGGCCCCCATACAAACAAACTTGAAGCTGAACTGAGCCAGCCTGTAAATTGGCCATTGTAAAGAGTTTCGAAGCTGACATTTTGACTGTAAGCCCTTTGTCAGAGTGTATGAAGGGCAGGGGTGCACTAAAAAGATTCTTTTTTTTTTTTTGAGTAGAGAAGCTTATATTTCACTGAGAGGTGTGTCTCATTATCATCAATAGTGTGCAAGTTTACACAATATGAAAACACTTACACCCAACTGAGAAGGATCGCTATGAGTCTGACTTGGTAGTTTATCTGCAACATTGCAGAACGGTGGCTGGGCGCTGCAGAATGTCAGCCATCGGGCAATATGATCAAAATGGCAACCCGGCTGGATCAGGGTTTCAACTTTGCCTTTCACTGAAAAGGCATGAAAAGTTTGAGTGATAAAGTAAAGTACAATATATTTACATAAGCAGGCTTGGATCACAGTTATCTCAGTCAGTGTTCCAAAAAATCATCAAAGGGGAAAAGAAGACAAGAGAAAGGGAAATGTGAGAGAAATAAGGGAGGTAGTAAAGGTGGGGGCCTGGGTAAGGGAGGGGAAAATGGGGGCAGATACTATGTAGCGGAGAGAGGGCAGGGTAATAAAGAAGAAAACGGAGAAGGAGGGGCAGTAGGAAGGTATGGAGAGTGGAGAAGTACACAGTGTAGAAGGGTTCAGAGAGGAGTGAAGAAGAGAAAGGAGCAGGCAAGAGGGATAATAAATGTAAGTGAGGAGGAAGACTGGGGGATGGGAACATAGGGCATAGAGAAGAGAAGATGAGAAAAATCAAAGTGACACTGCTGACTGTATGGTGAATTTGTGAAACTGTATTAAAAGTCAATGTTCTTGTGATTCCCAGAAACAGAATTAAGCCATCATTCCCAAATTGATCCATCATTATATACCAGTCTCTCTGCCATTTTTGATCAAGTATGTGCTTTCCAGACTCCTTCCACTGTGCCAACACCTATACACACAATGCCCTTACTGAATCTCAACATTATTCTAAATGAAAAATTTAGAGGCAGTTTTTAATTCTGCCCTTTAAAAAAAAAAAAAGAAAAAAAGGATTCTGAAATAAAAAGTACTAAGTACTTACACACCTTTTAATGCACCCCACACAGCAAAGTCAGCTAGTGTCGCAGAGTGTCCAACAAGGAATGCAACTGGTGCAAGGCTCTTGTTTAAGGACTCCAGAGCCTTACTGTTGGCCTTCTGGTTCTCCATACATACACTAAATTCCAGCCAATGATCAACCTAAAGATGAATTGATTTCAGTGATAAGTCATTGTTTGAATTCTCTACTACATGTAAGCTTGCATTTACCTAAATTTAAAATCATAAACAGGGTCAAAGCAAACATTTTTTTTTCTCTTCACGTGGGCACAAGTTGTGGTTAACATTTAGTTCCTGAATCAATAGTCAGGTGAAGCAATTAACTCATTACCAAAACTCTGATTTAAGAAATTTTCCCTGAAGGTAAAAGATGAAAGTGTAATATTTCCTTGAATAAGCACCCGTGCAGCTGTTAGGCTGAGACAGTTTAGAAACTCAACGTCAAAAACTTAAGGCTGAGATGGTCTATAAGTCCTTAAATGGCCTCACACCCATTTATTTGTCCTTGAAATTCATTCAGAGGAGTGATGCGATTACTTCTTACAATTTGTGCGATTCTGAAAAATAATAAGCTTGCTATTCCCTTGCCATGTACTAACTATTATAAAAATAGCTTTGGCTATAGTGGTGCAGTCCTCTGGAACAGCCTTCCCTCAGTTGCTAGGCAAGCAACATCTCTGACTAATTTCCGACGATTGTTAATTAATTCCAACAAGGCATTCATGTGAAACAGGCTTTAATTTACCTTCTGTAATAGTTAAGTAATATTTTAAATATTTTAAATTAGACTAATATACATAGTTTATACATAGTATACATAGTATACACAGTTTTTTGTAGTTAGTTGTAGCTTCTATAATAAATTGTTAATGCCTGATGTATTTTACCGTGTTTAAGTAAAGATGATGATGATGATGATGTAAGCACTCTCCCAAAATAAGTGCCCACCCACTGGGCCATAATGTCAAACACATGCCCCCCCCTCACTTTCTTAAATAGTAGGGATACAAGGAAAAACTATTTCAATTGCCACTTTTTATAGCCTTTTACAGCCTTGACTTTGGCAGAATCAGTGCAGGTTAGTAGTTTCTTAAAAAGGGCCCCCCCCTAAATTAAGTGTCTCTTTCTAACAACAATTTTGAATAGCACGTAAGTCATGTGCTTATTCAAGGAAATATGGTGTTCAGGGTATGCCTTTGCTCAAATTTGTTACACATAAACAATCAATTGTTAGGGTATAAACCCAAAAATAAGAAAGAAGAAAAAAGGGAGAAAGACAGAAGTTTTATTTCTTTAAATCATTGGTTTATTTATAGCATATATGATCTCCTCCTGGTTACTATGATCAAAACTCTGGCCCCAGTGGTAAATCATCAGTTTTATAGATGACCAGCAGGTCTTTATTTCAGACCATGATAATAGGTAATAATTGGTTATCAAGTCTTACCTCTGATGCTTGAAGTGCATCTTTTCCATACAGACCCAGGGCAGGATACGTGCGAGCCAAATATCTTGCAATTGTATGATCACTGCTCAGTATAAGGTCACTGTGAAATAAAGTATAGTTAGATTAATTTTTTCACATCAAAAATTCCTGCCTTCTTCTCAATAGAATAAAGGCTGATAGTTTGGAAAGAAACTGTTTGGGGCTACGTCAGTGGGAGTAACGAAATAATTTGGATATATCAACAAAGTTGAAATGGTAAATTGGCCACTGTAACGATTACAAAAGCTGACATTTTGAGCGTTAACCCTTCGTCGGAGTGAAACACGAAGGGTTAACGCTCAAAACGTCAGCTTTTGTAGTTGCTACGGTGGCCAATTTACCATTTCAACTTTGTTGATATATCAAAATTATTTCTTCTCAATAGAGCTTGAAAGTGTTTAGAACTACCCCTTTATGAAACTGCCCTGCCACCATACTCTTCCTACCCACTCCATGATAACATGAAATGCATGGATCAATTTTAGGGATTTTATTAATTTCAGACTGAAGTAGGCATATATTAGGACATAAGTATGTGGGAAACAGTTCAGCAGTAGTCGAGGCAGATTTGTCACCAGTCTTTCTCTTCTGTCCATTCAAAGAGGTGCACAGTGAACCAATAGGCCATTTTACAGTTGTGTACTTAGTTGCCAAGCCTTTGATTCAGAGTGAGGCTGAAGGTGACCTTGTTATGATAGAGACCAGTATCTACTTAGCATGATAACAAAGGGATTTACATTTGAAAGGCAGCAAGGTTTGTATCATAACAAGGTCAACCCTAGCCTCCCTCCCATTCAAAGGCTTGGCAACCAAGCACACAACTGTAAAATGGACTATTGTGTTGTTGATTGAATTGTTAGAGCGTATTACAAAAATCACCCAACAACCAAAAAGGATACAAAATATTAACAAAAAAACACCTTTATTAATGACTGTCTTTAAAATATATTTGAATGTTTTCCAAAAAACACCCAAAACTTGCAGGTGGAATGGCTATAGTAGCTGGCTCCATTGTGGAGAGTAGCCAACTGGAAATCACCGGTTGATGGCTTCTAATGAAATCCCTGCAATTTTGAAGCTTGAACATCCTTCCCAGACATTTGGAACTTTTGAAGATTAGTTTGCGCAAATTCTGCCTTCTCGCGACCCCTGGGCCCAAAATTGTATTCAAATGCCCCACCCAAGTGCTGGAACTGATTGTCAATTTTTTTCTGAAAGGCACAGTTTGAACCATGACTTTCTTGTAGAATTTTTCTGCTCCTTTTAACACCTGCATAACATGTTTATTTCATTGAAAAGACTTGACAGTTCTGGCTGAAAGTCCTCACCCTAAAGAATCCCATTCCCAGACAAGGATGTCAGTAAAATGCTCATGGTTTGGGAAGATTGAAGCCATGAACTGATTGGCAAATAAATAATTCAAGTTACATGAATATATATCTAGAGGTTGCAATAGCAGTCCCAGAGCAGTTACTGATCTACACACTTGTAATGAGCTAGATGCAGCTACCCACAGGCAGCCTTCACACAAAAGTCACTGAACTTCTCATAGAAACCTTGAAATTCTCTTTTATTTGGTTGACTTTTAGGAACAACAAAGAAAACAAAAATTTAAATAGACCTCAAAGTACACAAAAATGCAACAGGAAGAGTCTAAGCCGTTGAAATTTCTCCAGAAGTTCAGCCCTTGCTCGGAAGAGGAAGTCCCCCCAGATCCTCAGAATTATACACCCCTGCTATTCTAACAAAACCACTGAATATACCAATTTTTTTTTTTTATTGAAACCTGTGTTTATCTTAACAACTTACTTAGAGATCCTGAGAGAAGTATTTTCACCCCACTCTACTGTCACAGGACATTTGTCCTTGAGGTGTTCAACAGTAAGAAGTGTTACTATGAAAGGAAAGATACAAAAAGTTCTCAAAAATCAGTTTTATACAATCATGTGATAAGTAAGAGTGTGAAAAGAACACTGAACCAACCCTTTATTACCCAAGATATGATACTAAGCTATCCTCTCAACCAGTTTCTATACATTTCCTCATAGATTATTCAAAGGAATTTGGTGTTATATCAGGATTATACTTTTAAGCTGATAGATATATCAATTCTCACCACCTATTTGTTGGATCGAGTATCCTCTTGACAAGGAGATAAAACATGCTAATCAGTTGTAAGGGTGAAAGAGTTACATGTTTAAACCAAGTGCCTAAATGAACACAAAATATGACAGCCAGAGAAAAGAAAACTTGTACATATTCATTGTCTTTCACCCTATTTATGTTCTAATAGAATTCACTTGTTTTTGGATTTTTTATATTTTTGGGAAGGGAAGGGAGGGAGCCGTAAGTATTGCGCTGATGAGGTGATGCAATATATGTGTAAATAATGATATTGATTTTAACCAATGGAATGTCACTGTTGGTGATATTGAAATCAGTGCCCCCTTCCTTGAGACAAGAATATTATTTTTTTTTTTAGAGTGCGGAGTTGCGAGTTTTCTCCGAAAAATGTATTAACTTAAAACTACTTATCATTTCAAACTATGTACAATTTTATGAAGCAAGTAATAACTCATGATAATTCTTAGGCGAGGACTAAATTTTTTTGTCGATCTAATAACGCCACCGAGAGTTTTAAGGAAAGTCAAAATAATGGTAAATCACTGTTCGCGGAAGAAAAAAAAAAAAAACTTGAATTCAACATATCTTTACGTTGTTTCCTTGTACATGTCTCGACCCGTAGGATATATTTCCTACATTCATTATGAATCGATCGATCTCGAGAGTTCTATGAAAAAATCAAAGAAAGTTTGTAACAAAACGTAAACTTCTCTTCAAACCAGCGAAACAAGTTAAGGCGTTTAAGATATTTTTACGATCGCTTTTCCAAAGATCAGAGAAATCGATCATTTCAAATTTAATTTTCCTAGGATTCCCAGGATCTTTGAAGAAATGAACAACAGATACATTCGATCGAAGGTTCTGTGCATAAAACCACTTACCTGGGGGTGGCTGGGAAGAAGATACAGTCACTGTAAGCGTCTTCATAACGGCACTACAAAATTGCGAAGATGGAACAAAGGATCTGAACAAGAATCTCTGCGACCAGACAGAACAAAAGTAACCTGCTCTCAGTTTAATCCTACCTATCCTCATGGGCACATGAGCGAGTGAGCCGGGGTTAAGTCAAAGACGCGCCGTATATGTTAGTGAACAGCGGTATCACTCCATCGTCATGTTACATTCATCATTGCATTCCTCTTGCATCACCAGTTGCATGCCCGAACATGCATGCAAACCGTGATCACGTCGCGACATAACCTGCAGTGAAGGCGTCTCATGTGGGTGAGTTAACGTTGAGAAGCGCACGATCGTTTAATTTGAAGTTAAGGTTGACATTAGGGGGGAGGGAACAGGAAGTTCTCTCCCCCACCCGCACCCACGCGTTATTCCTTTTTTTTTTCTGTCCCTCACCCCTTTAGTACAAATCTCTTTCTCTTTCCAGCCTTTCGCTTCCATCAAAAAAAAAAAAAAAGATAATGGCTATAATTTCCACTAAAAAATGTTAGATAACTTCATTGGCTGAATGTAAATAAAGGTATTATAGTCGCAGAGAAATCAACTGAATGCTACATTCTAATCAGGCAGCACAGGGCGAAAACCGTAACCTGTGAGCCATGGAGTAAAAAATAAATGTACATTAACTATGTATTATTATTATTATTATTATTATTATTATGCGTTGAACTTTTGAAGACTTTGCATTTCCTTTGTCAAGAGACTTAAAGTAAGATATAGACTACCTAAGCAACACATTATAATTTTATTACTCAGAGCCATATAATTATGTAGTTTAGGTTAGTGATATTTTTTCTCAAAAAGAGAATTGTAACTTGCAAGATTTTTTTTTTTACCTTTTATACAGTTTCATGTTAGATTCCGGGTTGTATGAAGTTACTCAATAAAGGTTATTTTGTAAATTTAATGGTAATAAACTGAGCATTGAACTCCATTATATATTATTATAGTTGTCGGGTGTTCCACTGGGTAACGTTGTTTGAGTCTCAGAAAATTCCCGTAGCTCAGAGACACAACACTTTTCGCAACAGATGAGCAGTTCCAAGGATGTCCGATAACTGAACACTTCCAAGGAAGTCAGGTACCATTATTATTATTATTATTATTATTATTATTATTATTATTATTGTTATTGAGATGACGCCGGATAGTGAAGACGTGCGAGGTTGAGCTCCTCGAAACAAGATGCCCAGGAAAACTAAGAATATTAAGTGGACCGTAGCGAATGAACTCAGATCTCCTGGAATGCAAAAGAAACGCACAGGAGCTCGTTAGCTCAAGTGATGCGCCAAGAAATAAGAACGGGAGGAAAAAGGGCTACATTGAAGTAATTACTGACCTCTGGAATGCAAAAGGTTATGAACATCTTTCCATTAAAAGTCAGAACCTTAGGGATCAAGCTTCGCGACTAGAGAAAAACGCGTCCTCTTCAAATATTTCAAGTCCTTTGGATTCTAATGGTGATATTTGGCAATCAAATATACTTGGAAATAATGATATCTCGATAGACGCCACTGACGAAAATTCAAGCAACCCAGATGCAAATGTGCTTTCTCAAGACCCAAATCTGCATTCGTCGAACGTACAATTCTCTGAGGAGACTCAATCAACAATTGATGCAACTGGGATCCTACTACTGAAAACGCGTCAAACATAATACCTGATAATTTGCCGCATTATGAAGCTTTTGAAAAGCCCTCCTTGTTTGAATGGGGGCTTTCAAACGATGGAAGAGCATTGTTTGTCAAAACGTCGACAATCGATAATGCATACAATGAAATCTCTAAATGGCGAAAGAACACCTTCCTCGTTCCATATGGAAGACCAGGCAAGAATTTCATCGATCAATTAACAAAACATATAAATACATGGAACAATGGCGCTGAAGGGAAACATGTCTCGCTTAAGGCAGCTTTTGTGCTTATGGCTGTTGCTCTCCAAAAGCCATATAGAAAGTCTAAAGAAAAAGATCATCAGGAATGCTTAACCAAACGACTTGCTTTGTGGAAAGAAGGTGACATAGATGCTTTGCTACGTGAGGGGCGGATAATTCAGAGACGACTTACAAGCTCTAAACAAACGGTAACACCTAACAAGGCTAAAGTTTTTGCTAATCTTGTGATGAAGGAGCAACTTCATTCTGCCATGAGATACCTCAGTAGTGACGATGGTGGAGGGATACTTCCTCTCAGCGATGACGTCATAAGGCAACTTAGAGAAAGACACCCTGATGCACAGGAAGCCCAATTGGATCCTTACTTTTTGGTTCAATTGAAGAGGTCCCAACCACGTTATTCTTTGAAATTGATGGTGAGATGGTGTGTGAGCCTGCACTGAGGACCAAGGGCTCCAGAGGTCTCTGTGGAGTTGATGCTGACGGGTTTAGGAAAATTCTATCATGTAAAACTTTCAAGAGGTCTGGCAAAGGACTTTGTGATGCTCTCCGCCGCTCTGTTGGCCAGAAGACTATGTACGGAGTACGTGGACCCCAGTAGCATTGAGGCGTTACTCTCAAGTCGTCTAATACCTCTTGACAAGGGTGAAGGAGCAGTCCGACCAATTGGTGTTGGGGAGGTACTGCGCAGGATCATCGGGAACGGCTGCGTCACAAGGGTAATAAAGACTGATGTTATTGAAGCTAGTGGCTCATTACAAGTATGCGCAGGACTGAAAAGTGGAAACGAAGCCGCCATTCATGCTATGCGAACCATCTTGGAAGCTGATGACACAGTTGCAGTCTTATTGATTGATGCCCCTAATGCCTTTAATGCCTTAAACAGATCTGCATCACTACATAATATTAGAGTATTATGTCCTCCAATGGCAATATACGCTATTAATACTTACAGACAACCTGCACGGCTTTTTGTTATGAGTGGTCAAGAATTGGAATCTGTTGAGGGCACCACACAAGGGGATCCACTGGCAATGAGTATGTACGCCATCAGTATCCAGCCACTCATCTCACAACTACAAGTTCTAGAGCAACTAAGCAATGCTGGTTCTCCGACGATGCTGCTGGAAGTGGTTCACTTCTTGAGGTTAGAAAGTGGTGGAATGTGCTCTCTGAAAGTGGGCCTCGACTAGGCTACTTTCCGAATGCCAAAAAGTGCTGGCTAATCACCAAGCCAGAGAAAGAAAGTGCTGCAAAGGCAGTGTTTGCCGACACTGAAATCAACGTGACCTCTGAAGGTCACAAGCATCTTGGTGCAGCTTTAGGATCTAGAGCCTTCTTAGAAGAATACATTGGAGACAAAGTAGAAGACTGGGTTAGCCAAGTTACTAAGCTTCCGGAATTCGCCGTTTCCCAACCTCAGGCATGCTATGCTGCATTCACTGTAGGACTGCGTCATCGTTGGACCTACTTCTTAAGAACACTACCTGATATAAGTGATCTACTTGAGCCACTTGAGAATGCTATAGCAAATTTTTTAATTCCTGCCATTACAGATCATCAAATTAATGAAGAAGACCGCAACCTACTTGCTCTCCCAGTGCTTTTGGGCGGACTTGGTATCGCAAACCCTGTAGAATTGGCATCTCAAGCGTATGAAGTCTCGGTAGCTTTTACTGGACCGCTGACTCAGCGTATCATACATCAAGATCACCACACTCCAGATGAAGCAGACAACAATGCTGCAAAGTTCCAGGCAATAGCTAAGAAACGTGAGGCCCTGAAAGAATTTGAAGTGAGGGTAAAAAACATGTTAACACCGAACTCGCTCAAAGTGAAAGAACAAGCATCAGAAAGAGGTTCCTCCAGTTGGCTCACTGTCATCCCGTTAAAAGACCAAGGATACGATCTCAATGAAGGAGAATTTAGAGATGTCCTTAAGCTGAGATATAATTGGGTATTCTCTGACATCCCAAACCGGTGCTTCTGGGGTGACATCTCTGACGTGGACCATGCGATGACCTGCAGAAATGGCGGATTTGTGATACAACGCCACAATGAGATCAGAGACCTGGAGGCGGCACTGCTTAGCACCGTATGTAACGATGTGGAAATCGAGTCTCCCCTACAACAGGTTACGGGAGAAATTTTGAATAATGGAGCCAATACTTCCCAAGATGCTCGTCTTGATATTCTAGCCAGAGGATTCTGGGAGCGACAGAAGTCTGCATACTTTGATGTCCGGGTATTCCACCCTTACGCTGACTCCTATCGTGAGAAGACATCTGAGCAAGTCTTCAAACAGCACGAAAATGAGAAGAAATGAAAGTATGCCAGTAGAGTATTAGAAATAGAGCAAGGATCCTTTACGCCCCTGATCTTTAGTACCACCGGAGGGATGGGCACTGAATGCAAAATTTACCATAAACGCTTAGTTGAACTCATATCCATTAAGAAATGTGAAACATACTCTACCACTATGCCCTGGATTAGAGCCAAAATTTCCTTTGCGCTCTTACGATGCGCCCTCTTATGCTTAAGAGGTATAAGAAAGAAGAGAAGAACATTTGAGACATTCGATACAGATTTTTTAACTGACAATGCTATGGCAAACACAGGCTAGACATTTTTAAAATTTGTTTTTACAGTTTTTTAGAGTGAGTGTCACTTCCCTTCTCATATACTTTTTTAATGTAATTTACTCTTACGAGGATAATTTCGATGCACGTTTTCTGAAATTCTTTCAATACGAACTAGTAGTTGCTTTCGCGATTTTTATATGTAGGTTGTTTTTGTTATCAAAGTTAGTTTGGGTCTGATACGAGTCTGATCATAGAGAACCGAATTATTATGATTATTATTGTTGTTGTCATCATCTTTACTAACCGAAGCGTGTATCCAATAGCTTTTCTTAGATTTTTATCAGACATTTTAAGCCTTTTAACATGATTTTTGTAAATTTTTTGTGATTATTATTATTATTATTATTATTATCTTATTATTATTTCTTTTCTAGTATCTCTTGTGCAGGTTACGCAAGAGTTCTATTGATCAAAAATACCAGTAAGATTTGTTTCACTTTAATCTATTTGCTCATTCATTAATTTTATCCTTTACCTCGTTCATTCAGCCATTCATTCATTTACTGATTCACTGTCCTATATGTTTCTATGACTTTTGACAAACAGATTCCATGCTATGGTGCACCAGTTCAGTAACAGAACAACATGGTAAGAACAGAAAAGTGGCACATGGGGCACAGCTGGGTGACTGTCACTGTTGTTCTTACTACATTTTTGAAGTCTTCTATGATCTTTTACTGTACAGACCCACAGCAACAAGGGATTTATTTGTTTTATATGATAGAAAGGCAGAATGTTGTTAATTTTGACATCATTTATGCATCTGCCATCCAAGATATCATGTGTAAGAACCAATCAAAATAAGTGTATGATTCAGTTTATCGTAGTAAATGTAAACAAACCATTTGTGCAAAAAAAGACCCTTTAATTAATATTGTTTCAACAAATGTAATTTACTGACTAAGATAAATGACAAATCACCACAAATGCCTTTCAAAGTTAGGTGACATCAACTTAACGGCCTGCTCCCAGTTGGCTTGTTAGCTCAATTGGTAGAGCGCTGCACTAGTATCGCAGAGGTCAGTGGTTTGAATCCCGTACAGGCCTGATTTTTTTCAGGTCTGATTTTCACTATTGCATAAATAGCGCTATCTACTGCGAAGGATTGTGCATCATACATATTTAATACCGCAGTTCAAAATATATGAACTTCATATATTCATTGTATCTTAGGTGACATGTGTAATTTTTAACATAATTACAAGTACACAATTTATATGTAAATTTCAAACTTTAAAAAAGGAAAATGGACTGCAGAGTGAAAAAAAGCAACACGTAAATGGTTCTTCTGTGACATTACATGTCTTTTTTTTCACATGAAATCGAGGATCTGCAGCAATATAATTTAATTTTTTTCTCATAAAATACATTTTCTACTTCCCATTAAATGAGTCTCAATAACTATTGTAATATTAATTTTATAAATAATTCATTGATCTCGAACTCTTATAAACATTGACTAGAGTTTTGATTCCCCCTTCATAAATAATACAAAAAATTCAAAGTTTTGCATATGCATTTTCATATCCACTCATACAAAATTCCTACATATTTTTTTTGAAATATTCATAGCAATCTTAGAGTAGTCAATCTAAATGGGACTTTTTAGTTTTGTGAAGTTTCTTGACAATTAAACCAGGTAATAATGCCATAACAGCTATGCCACATAGCTTAATGACAACATTAAAAGTAAAGAGTTCATCTAGAGATGTCAACTGTGACAAAATGCAACCAGTCTGGCAGCATATAAAATTGTATGGCATCAGGCCTACAAAGGTAAAAAAGAAAAAATAATTTTATTAATAATTTTTGATTTTGACTTTTCATCAATTTAACCTGAAAAATTTTCATAACAAATCAAATTAAACATAACCAGCAAGTCACGTAAATCTTACCAATTACAACTGAGAAAAAGAAATGTGTGATAGGTACTTCCAAAACTGGGGATGACATGTTTAAGAACCAGTTGGGAGACATAGGAAACAGTCTCAAGAATAATAAAAAGAAAAACAGACTATCAAGGTTCTCTTTGACCTGAAAAATACAAGAAATGAATTTGAAAAGTCAGATTGCTCTAACTTATACATGGAATTAGCTTCAAATGACATTACTAGTGGGTGCCTTTTCAATAAAATTAACAGATGAAGTCAAAATTTGGCAAGAACAAAAAAGTGGCATACAAAGCACAGCCAGATACATATGTCACCTATGTTCTTGATTTTGACTTCTTCTGTGATTTCTAACACACATGTAACTGTACAGACCCACAGCAACATGGAATCTATTTTTTTTTATGATAAAAAGAAAAACATCATTGATGGTGACATAATGTAAGCGTCTGTCCTTTCTCACCTTGTCCTGCAAGGCCTGGATCTTGTCTGGAAAATACTGAAGTAAAAGCACTTTACCGAATGCTTTAGATAAAAGATAACAAAACGTGGCTCCACATCCAGTCAAGATGCAAACCAAAGGAAATCCAGCCCACATACCAAATATTGCACCAGCTAACAAATTCTGGAAAAAGATTGCATAGAATCAAGGATAAGTAAAATTAACCCTTGACACCCTAACATCAGTGTGCATATTCTCCATACCATTCTCTACACATTTCCCAAGGTGCTGATGACAAGAGTTTGAGTAACAATCAACTTGAAGATTTATTCTTCAGTTGGTGATCATTTGCTTTATTCTCCTGACCTTAATGTGTGATTCAGGGGTGATATTGTAAAGAGAAATTAGATGCTGGTCACTCTTAGAGGGTCCAATATTATCCCCATAATTGATATTTTTCTTTCCTCGCATCACCTTGTTGAAAATGTTATTGATTTTGTCACAAGAAATTTCTTTCTGGTCACACCTTAATTTAATAAAGTCAAAAATTTCCAAGCTGGTCATCTGCAGTTTGTTTTAATGAATCTTTACCATGTCTACCAACCTCACTATTTTGTTTTCTTTTTCATCAATATTACACTAACTATTATTTACAAAAAAAAGGTTTTGCACTATTGACAAAAACAGTCTTACCCCCGGTATCACCAAAATGATCCAATATCTTTCGACAAAGCTTCTTTGAAATTTTTCAAGTAGCCTTTTTAATATTTTCATTATGATTTTCATTTTGCTATCTTTTTTTTTTTTGTATAGGTAATCACATTACTTTGAGTGCAATTTGGAATAAATTAGCACGAGTAAATTTTTTCAAAGACTAACAAAATTGCATGAGCCCGAAGGGCGAGTGCAATTTGTGGTTTTTGAAAAAATTTACAAGTGTTTATTTATTCCAAATTGCATGAGAAAATCATGTGATTATCTATTAATAATATACATAAAAAAATACAGGGTAGCTTCTCATAACTACACAGATGAAAAGCGCGTGCATCACGTGCAAAAATAATTTATTCAAACCCTGCAAGTGACATTGACCTTGACATTGATATTGACCAATCATTCTGACCAATCAGAATGTCTGGTTTGTTTCTTTCTTTGCACTGAATTAACTCTCTTCTGCACTGAATTAACTGAAAACTGCATTCATATTAACCAATCAGAACTGAGAAATTTTTTCATGTATATTATTAACAGCAAAATATTCCAATTTAATTTTAATTCTTCATTCATCTTTTCATGTATTTATCAGTTCATACCTAGGTATACTGACATAATTCATTTCTTTTAATAATCCCTTTACTTCTCCTTAAACTTTCTATTTATTCTGTTATTCCATTATGAATACCTACCATAAAAACAGACCCAGGGATAGCAAATGTCTGCTTGTATAAATACGCACTACAGAACAGCAGAACCACATAACCAAAATTTTCTTGTCTGTATTGCTTTAATAGACTGGCTAATGACTTGAGATCCTCAAGGTCACTTGGAAAATGGAGCTCGTAACTAAAAAACACCAAAAGATCAGAACACAATACAATTATACTACATTAAAGTGCTACTGAAACGAAATTTTCGTATCTGAAATTTTTGCTCTAACCTGTAGTTTTGAATATGGTGATCATCATGAGATAATTTGCTTTGGCCAAAAAGAAGCGAAAAATATCTTTTTTAACCATTCAATTCAAAAATTTTACACAAAACCATGTCCGGGCTCTGGTACTGAGCAAAATGGATTGATGACGTCACTGGTTGTGTTCACTCCGATAGCCTGGTTTATTTCACTCACTGTTTGTTTGTATTCGTGGGCGAAGGAGATGGCAGATATTGAAGTTTTGTCAAGTGAATCTTCTTTTGAACGAAGCGAAGTTGTCTCCAGTAGCGAAGAGGAAGATGGTGGCGTAAAATGGGGTTGACAGGCCTACACGACTCCCCAGCGTGTGTTTAGAGTAGCCTATTCAAAGTTTAGCCCTCACGAGTATGTCTTTGAGCGATCGCCCTCTTTTGTAAGATACGAGCGGCGGATTTTTGTATAGTTCGCTGAGTAGTGGTTGTGTTTCTATTAAATGCCAGTTTTTCATGAGAATTTGCTTTATGTGTGGCACTGAGTACGCACATCAGGGATTGCGTCTTTTTCGAATCGTTCGCCTTTGTAGATGTACAACTATTTTTTTGACTGTCTTGATCATTAAGTTGTCTTGATTGCTTTCAGCTTGCGCCACGCGCGCTGATTCGATCGTACTACAGTTCTTAGTGTTCAGTGTTCCAGCCGTTTTGGCTCGTTTTCTTTTCTTTATTTCGGTATTAAAACGACCGATTTCACGTTCATAGAGGCAGATGATTGCCTTTACTGTTTCTTGCTCCGCATTGTTAAGGATTTGCTTTATCTCATTTTTGAAATCCTCGTCTGCTCTTATTTTGGATATATCAACAAAGTTGAAATGGTAAATTGGCCACTGTAATGATTACAAAAGCTGACGTTTCGAGCGTTAGCCCTTCGTCTGCTCTTATTTTGGCCCTCGCTCTATATTGTAGGGATTCTGGGCATGTTCTGCTAGGCATTTGGTACAGAGGCATTTGTTCGTTATCCTCAGACTTGCCAGGTAGATCATCTTCAGTGGCGGTGTTGTATGAGGCTTCCATGTTTTCTTCATTCTCTGAATGGCATTGCTTTGGCCCGGGGCATTTAGTAACCCATCTGCCGTTATAATGTCTTTCGACATTTTCTGTAGATGGTCCGGCAAGACCGCGGTTTCGATCCTAATCTTGTGGATCTTGTCAGTTGCCGATTAACTTAATAGACTGGTAGAGATTCGTTCTCGGTATCAGTCGGGAATTTTGCTCCCTAACCAGGCGAACCTCTCGCAGATAGCCAAGATGCCGATATTGCCGCCGATGAAGAAGACGAGGTTGGCATCTTGCCCGAAATCCTCTTTTTCGGCTTCCCAACATGCAAGCCACACTCCATGCTTTTACCCTTCTTTCACAGAAGTACACAACCAGTGACATCACAGGGTTGTTTTGGCTGCACCAAGATGGCCACCAATTTTGATCTCAGCCGGTCAACTTCGAATGGTTAAAAATGTACTTTCCGCTATGAGTTGGCCCAACAAAAGTACACCGCGTTTGCAAATAACGTCCAAACTCTATCATATTGCAAAAAATCTCGGATATGAAAATTACGTTTCAGTAGCACTTAAACTCCATAACATGTTCAATCCTTCTAGTCAGTCTTGTAACTCTTAAAATTCCCAAGATCTGTTTGTTAAATCTCCTCTCCAGCTGCGTCACATTTTCTTGAGATTTATTTATACTAATTTGTGCTAATCAAGATAACAATTTTAAGTTTGAGTATTCTCACTACCTGTTTGCTGGATGATGGAGGGATATTAAAGGGAGAAGTTACATGTTAATCACTTCTTGGAGCTTAAGGGTTAAGACTTATATACAATGACAGTCTCTCTTCAAAAACTCTCTGTTACACTTAGTTATAATAGCCATTTTTGCAGAGAGACAGAATTCCTACAAAGATGTGGGCATGTTAGGAAAGGGAGGTTGAGAAAAGAAATTTGTCTTCCTTTTCTTCAAACCACCCTTGTTAGTGTGCATACACGTTACAGTTTAGTATTAAGGTTGCAGTGGAAACTGGGTGGCCCCATGGTTAGTGCACTCAACTCCGAATCGAGAGGTCCGGATTTGCGCCCTGGCCAGGGACATTGTGTTATGTTCTTGGGCAAGACACTTAAATTACTCTCATAGTGCCTCTCTTCACCAAGGTGGGGGTAACCCTGCGATGGATTAGCATCCCAGGGGGTTCTAGAAATAGTTGCTTCATGCTACAGTAACCGGAGTTAAGTATTGGCCTGAGGGGTCACTTAGCTCGTAGACAGACTTCCCCATTTTTATTAAGATTGCCAATGAGGACTCAAAGTGGAAACTGGTAAATCATCAAGAGTGGTAAAATGCGGGTGACCAGGTCACGATTGGTTTTTATTTGGCATCTGATTGGTTCAGAGATTGGCGCGAGTTTTCTGAACCAATTGCAGAGCGACGTAAAGCAAAACCAAAGCAATCCTGTATCACTTAGGACTACCAACTGAAAATTCCCTAAATGTCTGGTTTAACTGGATTCCTTAGAGCTAAGTCCTTCAGAGGAAGGAATTGTTGTCTCAAACCTCTGCTAATACTAGCCGAGCTAACTCCCTGCGATCTTACCAGCTTACCTTTTACTTTCGTTAGCCCCCGTGGCGAGATTCGCTGTGAATGGCGGTCGAAACATCGACACTAAGGTAAGAAAAAGCGTGGCAGAAAAAAAAGTAGAACCAATGCCTAGAATACAAAAGAAAGTTCTCTGTGTTTTGGAAAGTGTCCTCATCATTCTGAGACGGTGTTCGAAAACCCGAAACCGTACAAATTTAAAAGTCGCTGAGAAGTTTTACGGAGAAGGATGGGAAAGCGCCGGCATGTTAGTTTGTATGTAACCTCGCCAGGCTAGAATAGGAAGTTAGACTGGTGTCGAAATTTTTAGTAAAATCGCGTGATTTCGAGGTTGTCACGCAAAACTTCGTCTATTTTTCATTACATCTACACCACCGTGATATGGAAATTACGTCGTCGCTTTTTAGTTGACACGCTCAAACAACAGCAAGATTTCTTTAAAAGAAAAAGAAATCGAAAACATCGATGAAAACCGCTCGAATCGATAGTCCTTACACTGCAAAAGATCCATCACATGGATTTTTCCTTTGGAATGGTCTTACTTGGATGCAGAAGGAAGAAAGATTTTGCGACGTCACTCTTAAAATCGGAAAAGATCGAAAGTTACGAGCTCATCGCGCTGTATTAGCGCTATCGAGCAAGTACTTTGAAGCGCTTTTCGGAACGGATTGGGTCGAAGGAAAATCAAACGAAGTTGAACTTCTTGGTTTCGATGAAGACGCCATTACGAATTTGGTTCGGTTTGTGTACTCGGGAAGTGTCGACATTACCACAGATAATGTTCAGTACGTCCTGGAAGTCGCCAATTATCTGGGAATAGAGTTCGTACAGAAAGAGTGTATACGATTCTTGGAAGAAAATCTCAATAAGAACAACTGTCTGAACGCTCTTCAAATCGCAGACATGTTTGCCTTCGAGTATTTGAGAGAGGAAGCAAAACTAGTCGCCGTACGCTATTTCACAGAAATTTGCATGACGCAAGATTTTATTTATCTTCCATATCATTTATTGACGGAGTTACTGAGAGAGGAAAGCATCTGTGTGGTTGTTGATGATTTGATTCCTAGCGCCGATAAGAGAGAGAGCGTTGTTTTACAAGCCGTGTTTCGATACGTACAGCACGATCTCGGTAAACGAGCAGATTTTTTGCCGAAACTTTTGGCCCTGGTGAGACTTCCGACTCTGTCAAGGCAGCACCTCCAAGAGATCTCAAAACACAGCTTAATAATTGACTGCGGTTGTGAAGAGATTGTTGAAAGAGCACTGGGTGTAAAATCGAATGATACTGGGGACGGTTCGACCGATTCAAACTGGGCCAAGAGGAGAGATTTTGCTAAGTGCGTGGTCACATGGGGTCGAACTTTTGCCGGTACCCAACGAATTCAGTCGAAAACATCTTTCATCACCGGTCAACGTTTTCTTGAGGATTCGATTGACGGTGTCACTGATGAAGGCGTCTACATCACAGGAATAACCGTGTGGAGGAACTTCCCAACAGAACAGCCGCA